AGCACACCAAGGTGCGCAGAAGATGATTGTTAGAATCAAGAAACACTTCTACTGGCCTTTGTTAGCCAAAGATTGCGTGGACTTTACCGCTGGTTGTCTTACTTGTCAACGACGTATGAATGTTGTCAATCTGGTTGGTAAAGGTGTTTTGCTATCCACGGACTTCAACATATTGGTATCCGTTGATGCCATTGGACCATTCATGTATAAGAAGAAGTCCTACAATTTAATCACCATGATCGACAACTTGACCAAATGGGTTGAAGTTGGCATACTCGAAGATGGTACTGCCTTGACAGCATGGAACTTGGTTTACTCCATGTGGATCTGTAGACTAGGCGTACCGATGAAAATGCTAACTGATAATGGAGCCATGTTTACTGGAAGGGACTTTTGTGATAAAGTCGAATCATTGGGCATCCGAACCAGCAATGCGACACCGCAATATCCTCAAGGTAATTCGATGGTGGAGTCATTCCATCATTTCCTAAAAGGGGCATTATCCAGGACAAGTGTGAATAATTGGTCCTTTGAAGAAGTACTTGCCTCGGTACTTTATGCGTATCGATCCACTCCGCACATCTCTACTGGCGAATCACCTTATAGACTACTTACGGGGAATGATATGGTACTGCCCCATTTTCAAGCATGGACGAACTATGAGACTCTGGACTCACGAGCAGCACATCGATATAGTCTCATTACCCAGTTACGTTATGAAGCGTTTGAACAGGCCATTAGTCGACAAGCGTTAACATCCACAAAGAAGGATGACAGGAAGTTCGAACTCGGTGATGTGGTGATATACCAATTAACTAAGAAGGACAGTGAGAAGTTAGTAAAATACTATGGTACTGACAAACTCATGCCTGCTTGGTCCGAACCCATGCGAATTACCAAAGTTCTACATCCGCAACAAGGAACTTATTTGCTTGAATCTGTCTGGCATAAAGGCTTTAAACGCCAGGTGAATAAAACGCAGCTACGTTCTTTCTATCCAATGCCAGATCCCAGATTTGATGAATGGTACAGGACAGAGGCCGCTAGAGATCGTCAGTATCAGACACAAGGTTCAGCCGCTGAACAACAGCGTCGAGAACGGCTGGAAACAGCTGAGAAGTTGGGTGTCCGTGACGAACGTGGTAGGTTCGTTGGTGGAGAGAGAGCCCTTGGAGTTGCAGTTGAACGAGACACCCATGATTGGTTGTACCCTGGAAGCAAGTTCAAAGACCTAATTATTCCGCCTGACTCATTATCTGAGAAGGTATCCATCGAACAAGGTTCGCAGACTGATAAGACCTCAGAAGCAAAAGAGGAGGAAGCACTGAAGCCGAGAAAGAGAAGACGTAAAAACGTCAATGTTGTGCTTACTATGTTGCCAAATCTACATCCGCCG